GGAAAAGCGCTAGTTGACAATGGCGATTGGGCAATTACGACAATGGCGGCGATCACACGACAACGGTGGTCAGGCAATTGCGAAAATGGCGGTGGTCACGTGACGATGACAATCAGGCAATTGCGACAATAGCAGCGGTCACACGATGATGGCGTGTCGGCGTGGCAGATGGGGTACAACGACAGTCGAGCTCATGTCGGCATCACAGCTAGAGTCGAGCGCCGATCAGGCGACAATGTGAACAGCTCTGTAGATTTTTGCTGAAGAATGGATAAGTTAAGATAACGGTCAGGGCTCAGATTTTTGCCCAAATTGGGTTAGTTGTAGAGAAATTGAAAGAAGAGAGAAGAACGAACAAATCAGAGCATCAACAAAGAATGGACAATAGAGAGCGAATGGAGGAAGAAGAGGATTCTCTTCTGCGTATTTTGTGGAGAAAGAACTTGAAAGAAAACTGATTTTGGAGAGAGAACTTGAAAGAAAACTGATTTTGACTAGAGATAAATTGAAAGACGAGTGAACGCAGAGGAGTGAGAATTGTTTTGTTGAGATTGAGAGCTGGGTATTTTGGAGTTTTTACCCTAAAAATATATAAATACAAGATACTATAGCTTTAAACTATACTACTTAAGTTTAGAGATAAATACATAAAATTAAATGCGTTCAATAATAAAAAATATCAAAGTTTATAAATAAATCAAGGTAAATAATTAGGCCTAAAAACAAAAAACACAATAAAATACAGACCAAGAAGGGGTCAACCCTTAGCCTGCCTCTCGTGTCCCACGCCATGACCCCACTACGAATATGATAACTTAGCCTCAGACGTGTTACTTACAACGTAGCAATCATTGCTTTCTTTCAAAGTTGAAAGAAATTAAATTCTTTAATTAACAACCAAAACGTCAAAAGCAGTACTAGTTACAAATAACTAGCGTAAGCAGGTTGAAGATGTCCACAAACGTGGTAAAGCAAGTGGCCTGATATGATTAATTTAAACTGGTTTTAGATGCTTTTAGGAAGATGCTCAGTCTTAAATTAATAGCTTTCCATCTCCAAATGGAACTCTATAAACTAATTAATAGCTTAATTAATAAACATATTCAAACTATAAAAATTTAAGAAAACCAGTGAAAAGTAATATGATTTTATCGGTGATGATCCCTACATTACCCCACATGTCGGGCTAAAAACTGAAATAAATCACAGTATAAACTACGGCCATACATGCATATAATAATTACTAAAATCTTTATTTTTTTTAAATTAAAACCTTCATTAATATCGAATAATATAAGTGTGTAGAACATTAAAATATTTTCTTTTCAAAATGCCCTTCAAAATGCATACATGCGTCTATTAAACATATACATAAATACATAAAACATATATGCATGCTGAAACCATACCTCATACATACGTAACCCCCAATTAATTAAATGCATCATCATAACTCCCAAATAAATAGCATCATGAATTTAATTGATTATATTGTTATAACCTCCAAGTAACACATTACTCTCCCAAATTCTCTTTCTTAATTCTCATTAATTACCACAATTATAATTAAAACATTATAGCCATTCGTCTTCCTAATAATCTATATCTATATCTATATCTATCTATCTATATCTATACCTATATCTATATCTATACTACAATAAAAGAGGATTCATATGTTAAAACTTTTGATTCCCTTTTGTACCCTCTCAATCTTAATAATCCCCAATAACTATAATAAAGTATGTGTGGTTCTAATGACTACTAGGTTCCCCTGAAATTATGTTTTTGGTTAAGCACTAATTATTATGTAAGTTTCTTGTGAGGACTTTTGGGTTCCCATGAAATTGTATTTTGGGTTAAAACACTTATTCTTAATTTTGTTTTACATAATTACTATGCAGCTCGAAAATATAGTTAGGTGTATGCAATAATATGATGAATGATAATGTTTTAGAGCAACTAACCAATATTATATCACTCAAAGGCCTCTTTATGTATGTAGAAATACACAAATTTCATCTTGACTAAGCTAAATATGAGAAATGTTTGACCAAAATTTCTTTATGTTATTTGTTTAGAAGAATAGAGAACTTGCTTGTAGTTATATCATAAAATTGTGCCTAATATTGTATAAATTATGCACAATGTGCTAATGTAGTAGCTAACTTTTTTATTTGGACTCCCATGAAAGGAGAAATGAGTACTAAAGAGTACCTTCTAGAAAAAATATAGGAGGTTGGATAGTCAAATTATTTGAAGAGATGAAGAGTCAATAGGAAAGTATAATTACAAGATATTGAGGATTAAATGAAAATGATGTGTACTCAGGTTAGCAAAATACAAAATTAGATAACTTTGAAATATCCTTAAATTTATAATTTGAAGCAAACCAATATAAAAACTGCAGAGTTTGGACCATAATGAATATTCAATCTCTTTAATAGTCATTTTCTTTATAGGAAGCTTACGCTGATGATATATTAGAGTGGAAACCTAAAGCTTTGATGTTTTGATGAGAAATCTTTGATGTTTTGAGATATTCCTAGAACTTATTGTTTAAATTATAAATTTAACATTAAAAACTAATTTAATAACATATGTTAATTTATACATGTATCACGCATCATGTGCAATGCACGTATGACATACTAGTCACTATAAATCAAAACCAATCTCTTTACAAAAATGAACATGCCCTATCTACTCTCATCATCTCAAAGGTGCTCAACTCTCTCTCCCCTCCCCATGCCCTCTCTCCTGCCAAGGCCTACTTTTTTAACGCGCACGGCCTACTAAAAAAGATCACCTTTTTTTATAAATATTTGATACGGTTATGCAGTATAAAGATGACGTGATATTCAATCTTTTAGTATGAATTTTTAATTCGTATTCTAATGTCATCATAGGTAGTCATAAATATTTTTATTTTTTATTTTTTTTGGTAAATGAAAGATTTTATTCACAAACCAAAAACTGTAGAGTTAAGTACATCAAATTACACAGATTTCATGGAATCTGAGGGCTAGAAACAATCAAAAACAAAAGTATAAAACATCAATATTATGTTCTACAGGGAGAGGAACCAATCTCTGTCTTCATTCGGCAAAAGAGGATTGTTGAGGATGACTGTGTACATGCCAATTTTTATGTCCCTTACAATCTGCTCAGGGGATCTGTTCTTCAAGTTGAAAATCCTCTCGTTTCGTTCTTTCCAAATGTTATATACCACTGCTGAAAGAGCCATTCTTTTCATTCTCAATTTGAAGCCAGTCACCCTTAATTTGTTACAGTACAAATCAAGAAGCAACCTCCAGTTACATGTCCTCCAATTAAACTTGAGCCAATTCATTACCTCATTCCAAACTGTCATAGAAAAACTACATTCAAAAAACAGATGCATATGGCTTTCAGTATCTCTTTCACACAGGGAGCAAAGGTCTGATTGGATGATCCCTCTTCTGAGCAATCTATCCTTAGTGAGCAGCCTGTTTTGAATAGCCAACCACAAAGTAAAAGAGTGCTTAGGAAGATTTAAACTCTCCCAGACAGTATCCGACCAAGGAACAGATACATTGAAGTTAGTAGGAGATAAAAGTTTATAAAGACCAGAGAGATGAATCTTGGAGTGCTTGTAACAAGACCTGATGCATTGTATTAGATTATCAGTCCCCCCAAATTGAATTGCAGCCTTATCCCTTGCTTTTAATAACTGTTTCCATAACCAAGAATCACCAGATTTAACTCTGATTTGCCAAATGTTTGAGGTTTTTAAATAGGTGCCATGAACCCACTTAATCCACAAAAGTTCTTTGTTAGAGTGCACATACCATAGAGTTCTCATAGCAGTAGTCAAGTTCCAAGTTGTGGCAGAAAAAATACCAAGGCCTCCTTGCATCTTCCCTATGCAGATTTTATCCCATGATACAAGCAGAGCTTTGAACCTATGATCAGATTTACCCCAAAGAAAATCCCTGCAGAGATCATCAATTTTTTGAAGAACTTTTGAAGGCAATATATAGCAGGAAGTCCAAAAATTTTGCACTCCAAGAATGACACTTTTAATAATCTGCAGTCTTCCTGCATAGGAGAGGGCTCTGTACTTCAACCAAACCTAAAATTGGTTTGAAATTTTCTTGAACAAGGGACTGCAATCTACATAAGACAGTCTTTTAGAAATCAGAGGTAATCCAAGATATTTGAATGGTAAGACCCCCTCAGGAAAACCAATAAGACTGAAAATATCATTCTTAATTCTGTCATCAACTCCACCATAAAAGATGAAACACTTTGTGAGATTTGCTTCAAGCCCAGAGGTAGCACCAAACTTCCTGACACACTGGTAGATTTTCATGACAGAATAAACATCTCCCTTGCTGAATAATAATAGATCATCTGCAAAGATTAGATGGGATATCTTGAGTCTTTTGCATTTGGGGTGGAATTTAAAATCTCTGTCTTTGCTTAGCTTGCACAAATCCCTTGATAGATATTCCATACCAATGATAAACAAATAAGGGGAGAGAGGATCTCCTTGCCTCAACCCTCTACCTCCTTTGAAGTAACCATGATAAGAGCCATTTAGAGATATGGAGTATTTAGGAGATGTAATACAAGTCATAATCCAGTCTACAAATACTTTGGGAAAACCCAAGCCTCTAAGCATTTTATCCAGAAAATCCCAACTAATTGTATCAAAAGCCCTCATAATATCAATATTAAGCATGGCTCTGGGAGACAGATGTTTTCTTCCATAGTTTTTAACTAGCTCATGAGCTAATAATATGTTGTTCTGAATTTGCCTTCCCTTAACAAAAGCACACTGAGCTTCATTGATGATAAACCCCATAACCGACTGTATTCTGTTAGCTAGAATCTTAGAGATGAACTTATAGATGCAATTGTAGCATGAAATATGTCTAAAATCAGCAGGAGTTGTAGGGCATTGTATCTTGGGGATAAGAGTAATAGCTGTTGAATTGACAGTGCCTAATTGCTTGTCAGACTTGAAAAAAATCCTCTATAGCTTGTGTGGTTTCTTCACCTATAATGGACCATGCAGATTTGTAGAAAGAAGCATTGAAACCATCGGGACCTGGTGCCTTATCATCAGGCATATAAAAGATTGCATTCCTGATCTCATCTTTTGTAACTGGCTTTGTTAAATTCCTAGCTTGAAGATCATTGAGACATGGGACATTTTTAATTATATCAATAACAGGAGGATCTGTAGAAATTGATGATCCTAACAAGGACTTGTAGTAAGAAATTAGCTCCTGGACAATCTTATCACCCTTAATAATTCTCTCACCATTGTTGTTGTACAGGACCATAACTCTATTTTTGTGCCTATTGTTCTTGACAATAGAGTGGAAAAAGTTTGTGCACCTGTCCCCTTGGAGATTCCAATTAATTCTAGCTTTTTGTTGGTAGAATGATAGCTCACATTCCAAAAGCTTATTGAAAGAAGAGATATAATCTTTCTCTTGACATATAAGAGCATCATTAAGAGGGTCTAATGATAAGGCTTTTTGAACATTGTCCAGATCTACTTTAGCTCTCAAAACCTGTTCACTGATATTGCTAAAGTGTCTTCTGTTAAGGTCCTTCAGAGCTATTTTCAGGAGCTTCAGCTTAGAACAAATAGAAAACATGGTGTGACCATCAATATAAGTATTCCAGATAGAAGACACCGTAGGCAGCTAGTTTGTATGTTTGATCCACATTTTAAAAAACCTAAAAGGCTTTTTACCATGCACTTGATCCTTAAAAATTGTAACAAGTGCAGGGGAATGATCAGAGAAGCTGAGTAAAAGGAATTCTGCTTGACTTGAATTATAAGTGTTAATCCATTGATCATTCACTAAAGCTCTATCCAGTCTGCTCAAAACTCTGGTAGCAGCATCTTGTTTGTTATTCCAAGTAAAGAAGCAACCAATGGTTTTCAGATGAGTAAGCTGGCAATTGTCAATGAATTGATTAAAATCTAAAGTATCAGCTTCAGTTAGAGTTGTACCACCCAGTTTCTCATCTTTAGTATTCATGGCATTGAAATCTCCACACAACAACCAAGGCAAATTACCTGAAATTTGCTGAATCTGAGAAAGATCAGTCCATAGCAACTTCCTAGCTTCAGCTTGATTGTATCCATAAACTGAGGAAATAATACAATTAAGCCTACCATCCAGGGACTTGACAGCACAGGAAATATGTTGAGCAGAAAAACAGATGATCTGGACATCTAATATGTTAGGATCCCACAGAATCATAACTCTGGCTTTATCTGAAATATTTGCATTTGAAAACCACTCCCAGTTAATATCAATCTTCTTAGCAATAGCCTGGACTTTACTCAGCTTTAACTTTGTTTCAAGAAGAGCTAGAAAAGAAAGATGATATTGCATAAGGTGTTTTTTAACCAAATGCTATTTAGGGGATTTGTTTAATCCCCTAACATTCAAAAAAGACAGGTTCATTGGTTTGCCCCCCCTCCCTATCAATAGTAGAGGGATCTAGAATTGATATCAAGTTTGTAAGTGGAGAAAAGGGGTTAACTCCTTTACTTTTGCTCCTATGAACTTGTGTCCAAGAGTTACCAGTGAGGATAGCTTCTTTTCCTTTGTTCATTTCCAAAACAGGTTGAACATGCACAGCACTGTTTGCAACACTAGCAAGAGCCACTTCTTCTGAAATTTTGTTTGAAGACAAATTCTCAACTCCAAGTTTCTCTGTAGGAGGATGCATACTATTACTGCCAGCAAGCTGATTTCCAATAGGAGGAATTATCTCATCAATTTGCTTCTCCAGGACTTCACCCACAGTCTGGCAGGAAGAAATACCAGATTGAGCCACATTATTCTTTTGCTTTGGGACCCATCTTTGTAAAGGATAATGTCTTTTACAGAATTTAGTATCATGCCCAACATTTTTACAGTGATCACACCATCTTGGCTTTAGTTCATATATAACTTTTTGAGTATATTGTGAGCCATCATGCCCTTGAATAGCTATATGACCTGGGAGTGGAGAGGGCATTTTGACTTCAACAAGTACTCTAGCATACGCCAGTCTTTTCATATTAGTAGTGAGCATATCAGTAGCTATAGGACGGCCTATAATGCTAGAAATTTTACTTATTCCCTTAGCATTCCACAGGTTTAATTTTAGCTCTGGTAGCTGAATCCATAATGGGTAGATGCAATCCTTTAACTTTTCAAAATCATCACCCACAGTCCAAGGCTTCAATAACATTGGTCGAGAACCAAAAAACCGGGGACCAGATAAAAGTATATTATTCATATCATCATTATTTTTGAATTTAAAGAGAAATACTCCAGATTTGAGAAGGTTAATCTCAGGCAGAGCAAGTGGAGACCAGACTTTCTTAATGAAACCTTCAATTGCTTTAAATTTGACATTCAAACCCATTACCTGACCAACAAGGGAAAACTGCCAGATAAAAACCCCCTCATTCCATTCTTCATCATTAAAAGAAACCACATCCTTTGATTCAGGGGGGATATAATTCAGATCTAAACCACTGCCTTGCTTCCTGTTATCAGCAAAAAAACTGACACAGCTTCTTTTGGGATTCACATTTGGAACATCATTAAGAACCAGTGGTGATATATTAGAGGTGTTCTCGTCCTGTCTATCAGATTCCAAGTTGATAACATTTTCTTGATTTTTAGAATTCAATGGAACAGTACCGATACCATAGCTTAACAATGGAGAAGTACTATTACCAGAGTTCAAAATAGGATTCAAAGGAGGAGCAGAGGAGATATTAACAGATGAAGGGTTTGGATTAAGAGGAGAATCCATTTCTAGATCTAGATCTAGATCTAGCTCATCAGCCCAAGATACCCTGGATGAAGTCCCCTCACCAGAAATGAGAGATTTACTCAGACTACGTACCTGAACCCCAGGTAAATGAGCTTCACACTGAGAGTTACATGAATCAAGAATATCCGCCATTGTTTTCTTCTTCTTTTCACCCTTTGGACCAGTGGAACCCATTATACCTGGAGAACTTTCATCCTCATCATCAGATCTAAGCTGAAATTGCTCAGCAGGTGAGAGCAAACTTGAGTTAGATGCTCGGAGGCCAATGTTGAATATCTGTCTTCCACTATTCTTCTTTTTCTTCCCCATTAGACTTCGGCAGTGGCGCAGGTTAGCAGGAGAGAAATCGCCTACTAAAATGAGCCATCAGAGCTGCCCTCGCGTGTAGAATTGTTCATAATAATCGTGAATTTAATAATAAATATTTTTATTATTATTCTTTACTCATAATACTGATGGATTACCCGCTTATCAAAGATTCAATCCCTATGCTTATCTTTTTGAAGAAAAGCGTATTATTTATTAATCTTATGAATCTAATAGAACGGATCTAATAAAATTTTCATGTTCTTTTTAAACGCTTTACATCATCAATGCTGCCTCTTAACACTAGAAAGCACATCATTTTAGAAAGATAGAAATAACTAAATCAGGCTTTGTATTGCTTGTGTGGTTCGTAAGGTTTCTGAAGTGGACAACATGGGAACATTACCATGAATATACATAGAAAAGGAAAGTTAAGAATAAAATATAAATGTGAAATTTGTTATAAAGAATAATTGATTGGAAGATAGAAGTGTGAACTTTGTTCTTTTCCTGTTTTCATAATCTCTTTTCCTTTTTTTTTTGCTTCCCAAACTTTTTTTAATTATGTTTAGACTCTTGGAGTTTTCAAAAGTTTCATTTTGTTACACATTTTCTCAATTGTTTTTATGCGTATGACACCAATTATTCATCTATTTATCCTTTCATATTTTCAACATTAAAGATTTTATTGAATTGATTACTTACCATTTCTCCTTTCATATTAAAGTTTTTTTAGTGAAGACTTAAAACATGAGAAATTTTTCATAAAGATAAGCATTAGCCATTGATTTTAGGGGTTTAAAAGTAATGAATAAATAACAAGCTTATAAAAGAATTCATGAAATGCTTCATATATATGGCCAAACACATTTTTTAAAATTGTGGATATATTTTTATAAAACAGTGTGTAAAGAATTGTAAAGAATCTGGTGCTTGAAACTTGTAAATTCCCGTTGAGCGGAATTCAAATTCATAATCTTAGTAAACACTATTTGTATCATTCTTTTCTTCTTCTTTTTTTCCTTTTTTTTGGGTACTTCAAGCCTCATTTTTGCTTCTATCTACCAGATTTATCAATTAAATTTTAGATAATTAAATTATCTTAGATATTTTATTCATTCACACACATATAAATTGGTCAAATAATATCATTTCTTAAAATAGTATAGTGATAATTACATAGGATCAACTGTGTATCTTCATCATAATTCTATAGGGAGAACATTAACATTCCATATGTTTATACGTACAACATAAAACTTTATAAGATTTATAAATTAACCTATATAAGCTTCAAAAATATATTTCATACAAGATTCTAATAAGTCTAGGACTTGAATAATGAGAAAATTACAAATAATCCTCAATGATTGCTCTAATTATATTCAAAATAAAACTTTTTTTGTAAATTATATAACCTTAAATATTTAAAATATAAAATAAATATTTCATGTGCAATGCATGTGCACTATACTAGTATCATAACGTAGGCAAAAAGCACATTAACTACTCTAGAAGCAAAATTTAATTATGGGGGTGAAAAAGGCTAAATATCATTAAAAAAAACCCATTAACTTTGGACAATTAATTATCAGAAAACCCCCGTTAACGCTTAAAATATAAGATGAGAGTGTACCATATTTTGAAGGATCAATGATCCTATTATTGATCCTAGTGTGATCGAGCTCCAAGAGTTCTTTGAAACAACCTCCCATCCGTTCGATTTGGGTTCGGTGCTCTGCTTATTAAGGCAAGCAGCCCAACGGACCTGGATGTGCATCACATTAGTGACACGTCATCAGGGGCATACTAGTCAACATTACTCACATACGAGCAATTTGAGGTTGACATGCATGTCTCTCCGAGATATTGATTTACATATTACTTGCGACACATAAACAAACAATCAACTATTATCCGAGTATGTGATGATATGGAATATATGTAGAGATTGGACGTGTGTTATGTTAGTGATACACCAACCAAGAGCATTGGTGCAGGCACCGGCCTTCGTTTAATTACTCATGTATATATATAAGTAAATAGAGACTGATTTTTGTTCCTTGATTCACACTCTTGATTAAGGCGGCTTGCTGATATGTCGCATATCTAGACTGTAATATATATGATTTGGATATATGAATATAAAGAATGTAGGGATATAGATGTGAGTCATTTTAGCGATAGATCTGTCAAGACCACGAAGTGACACGTCGCATGTTCTTATCCGACTTGCTGACGTGTCCTTGCACACTCTTGACTGGTGTCTGTCTGCTAGCTATTATATGATGCATAGCAAGACAATTTGCTGTAATTTGATCGACACTGATAATTTGGATCGCAGGAATATGGATATTAGGTATGTACGTAGGGATACGAGGAAATGTGGCTCACTTGGACAGCGTGGGTGGGTCAAGCTGCCGACCACCATTCCAACATATTCATCATCATCATGTGCTTTCGACCTTTCGGGATTACAAGCATAGCCTGCAAACTTTGCTGCTTTAATATATCATGTTCTCACGTGATATATTGTTATATTTATTAGTATTTTATTCCAACCCTAGCATCAGGTCATGAGTAGTGATTACTGGTTTTAGTTCTTGAAGTTTGGATTAAACTCTACATTTTTGTTCCTTACTGTAAATATATATGTTACACAGAGCCTAATATATTATGTATTACATCATCTGTATATTTGCCAATAGAATTCTTTTGACTCATTTGTTAAATAAGAATTCTATTTCTAGTTTCTAATTCTCGAAGGATTTTATTTGGAGAAAAAACTCCTAATTTTTTTACAAAAAAACCCTCAAATGGTTGTAAAAACTCCCTAAAATTTTTGCAAAAAATACTCAAAAAGTCTGCAAAAGACCCCCAAAAGTTTACTAAGAGCCCCAAAATGTTTGCAAAAAACCCCAAAAGGTTTGCAAAAAGCCCCTAATAGTTTACAAAAAGCCCCCTAAAAGTTTACAAAAAGCCCCCTAAAAGTTTACAAAAAACACCCCAAATGTATTATATATGGGTTTTTCTATAGAGTGCCCATGGGCACTCTATAAGAGAGGAGAGAGATAGAGAGAGATGATTGGGGAGGGGATCCCAATACAAATCAGGTGGGCCCCCTCCTTAATCATCTCTCTCAATCTCTCTCCTCTTCTATAAAGTGTCCATGGGCACTCTATAGAAAAACCAATTATATATATAGCTACTATAGTTAAATGGATAAATTGGTGGCCCGTTTATTAAATGAGTAGGCAAAAACCCGCTCATTTAGGAAATATTAAATTGGTCATAAATGAGTAAATGGGTAAAACATGCCCACCCATTTATGACTCGTCCATTTAATACCCAAACTCACCCATTTAAAAACCCTCAAAGTAATCGTTGCTTCCGATGCTAACAAGATATAAACTGCTTTTGTTATATGTTCAGTAGCCTTAGCATCACGTACGGTATCACCTATTTATCTGGTTAAGAATTTTTGCACCTCTTCAAAATGCTTGAGCTGTGTGTGAAGGTTAATGGCCTAAAAATTGACACAAGATGTTTATAGATAAAAAGAATTGATAATAGTTGTTATCATATTCAAACAATTGGTATGGAGTTACTCATGTTGTATATTCACTCATAAGATCTGATATTTATAATAGGCTAAATATCAGAAATCAAAGTAACAACCCCCCACCCCAAAAAAAAAAATCAAGTGTAAGGGTTATCATAAAAATCCCCTTTTAACTTTTAAATTTTTATCATAAAACCCCTCTAACGACATTACCCCTTATTATTCAAATTTTCAGTAGATAAAAACACCACTAAGTAGGCATTTCAACCCCAAATGATAAAAATAATAATTTAACATATTAATGTAATTTCTTGCTGAAAAACCCTCTCAACCCCCACGTGTTAAAAAAATTAGTTTAACAGATTAATATGATTTCTTGCTGAAGAACCCCCCCCAATCCATATCGGGGCGTATATTTGTCTGCTGAAAATTTGAATAAAGAGGAATAATATTGTTAGGGGGTTATGATAAAACCTTAAAGTTAAAGCTGGTTTTTTGATAACCCCTAAACTTATGAAGTGTTTCCTGATATTTTACCAGTTAAGGGGGTTTTTTGATAACCGTAAGTTTTTGCGTGTGTGGTGGTGGTGGGGTGTGTGTGGTGGGGGGGGGGGGGAAGCTATAATGTATGATGTTGATACCTATCATGATTATAATATTATGGTTTTGATACATATCATGATCATCAACGTTTTCCTACCTATATCATTATTATCACTTAACAGTAAGTAATTAATAACCAAAAGTAGAATATGCCATTAAGGGCACATGCAATCTGCCCTTTGAGAGGGATAGGTAGCAAGATCTAGCCGTATTTTCAGGAGACGCGTAGCCGTCTTCAAAGCCTTCCACATTATAATATTTTAGAAAATAATAATAATAATAATAGTTAATAGCCGGCATCTAAATATCGCTTCAGATTAGCCTTATGGTTTGAGAGGCACTAGGGGTACACCCTCTATTACACTCCCAACCATACCACCTCTCTTGCTACAGTGCACGGGGCTCAAATGAGATTTTAAAAATTAAAATCATATGTGGGCCCCGTGCACTGTAGCAAGAGAGGTGGTGTGGTTGGGAGTGTGGTAGAGGGTGTGCCACTATCATTGTTTTTATGGTTTTGAGATCTTCAAGAATCAAAGTTAGTACAATTCCATTCTATTGTTGATTCGTAAGTTGTGCTTTGGGCCTTGTACGGACTACTCAAATTAAGCATTGATTTGAAGATGGGAAAATGATAGGGCACACCTCAATCACACCCACTTTCTCATTCGCTACAGTACACCGGGCTCCACATGAGATTTTAAAATTTTAAAATCTCATGTGGGGCCCGGTGTACTATAGTTTAGTCTCCCATGTATTTTAGCCCTTAAATTGGATATCGATATTCTGCGGCCCTTCTTTAGTAATTATTATTTATCAACTAAGCATAGAGAGAGAA